AAGTCCAATGACTTGACTATCTGTCTGCCTGCCTCCGTCCACCTACTATTTTAAACACCCACACAATGGCACTTGTTCTAACACTTTTGACTTTTCCATTGCAATTCTTCATCCACATCATGAATGCCCTTTCCCCACAAAGAATTGCAGACACACGTTTGTAAGTATACAACTGCATCTGCAATCCCACAGAACAGAAATGTAGTTGGGCCAAAACAGGCAACGTCTCGGATCATGACTGAGTGACTACCTGTTTCCTTCAAGGCAGAACAACAAGTGCCGATGCTCATCCTTAAAGCACAAGATACCAAGATATGCACACCTACTTAATCTGAGCTGCACCTGCTTCGAGGTAAGCTCCATGGAACTAATTCAGTGCAGTTATGTCTGAGTAGATATAGCATTATTGTTGTCTATTATTACATCACACTGGTTCTCAATAGATATTATCAGATAACTTGTGAATGCAGAACCCAACATACATGTATTGTAAAGTTACTAATATTCTTTATTTTATTGTTTTCTAGCACAGAGAGACTTCAAGATCCTCAGCTTCAAGCTAAAGGCTAACTTTAGCCCATCTAAATATATGTTATATAAAAACAAGTTTATCAGAACACATGCAGTTATTTTATGACTGCTGAGTAACCATAACGTACTTCCCCTTCTCTGAACTTGTTTGGAGCCCTAACCCATCTCTGTTTATAAGCTTCCTTAAAATGCTTATAGTATTTTAAAGAAGTATGAAGTGAAGGATACATGTGCCACATCCTCTATTAGTTGGGTCACTGTGCCAACCAGGATGGGGAGGGGGGGGAGGATGCTTTATGTCAACACTAGACTTTGTCCTCAACACAGAGGCAGTAGTTGCTATTCTCAGCCCTCGAACATGATGTTAAACACACAAAGGCCTATGTCATTTTTGAATGCATCTTGCCCTGCCAGAGGCTCTAACTTTAACAGATACACAATTGTTCTGGTGTTCTAGAAGTACTCTGCAAGCACACGCTCCACGATGGGTGTGCAAGACTCCCGAGACCAAGCATGCAAAGAGGAGGAAGCAACATCAGAGACCAAAGCCACAAGATAAAGCTGGAAAGGATGTGAGAGTCATTGGTGTGCAGCCTCCCTCCCTTCACCAAAGTCGCATCTCATTAAAAAAAAGAAAAGGAAAGAAAGAAAAAAAAGGAAAGGAAAGGAAAACGGAACTTAAAAAAAAATTAGAAGCAAAGTGATATTTCAAAAGCCCATTCAAATGTAGTGGGAAGTTCCTTCCTAAAACTCGTTCTTGAGTAAAGTCAGGCATGTGGGAAGATAACTGCAACACACATGGAGGCATACATGCATGCAAAATTGGCTGAACTAGCATTTATTAATAGATGCCCTTATATTTGTTTAAGAGCCAACAGAGATCAAGGTTCTTTTTCCATCTACAGCGGTTAAACAAGCAGAACAAAGCTAGGAAACTATCTGCTAAATACCTCTATTATGATTGGCTGTTGTGCTTATTTTGTCCATATTCTGGCTTCATAGTAACTACATATATTTCACTTGCTGAATATATGGAATGCTGCTCCATGTAGAAAAAGGGCAGCATGCTGTGCTTATTGTGTCCATATTCTGGCTTCACAGTAACTACATATATTTCACCTGCTGAATATACTGTATGGAGTGCTGCTCCATGTAGAAAAAGGGCAGCATGACCATGTTCCTAGGCCTGCATCCTTATTATGCACATGCTTCAGTGCATAGAAAAGTGATGTGTGAGAAACTGAGCCTGTGCAACTGCTCAAGATAATCAGGTAACCTATTTGGATGAGGGCTCCAAGCATAATGTATACACACATTCAGCTATTCACATAAAGGGGTTTCTTTGCAGGCATTGGGAGGATCAGCAGTGGCAGAACCAGCAGCATGATCTTACTGTACCTGGTACATGAGACAGCACTACACACAAGTATCATGTGAAATATGTTAACAGAAAAGGTGACAAATTATATCTCATAGATGTTTATGTCTTCTGGATCCATTTTTGCACCCTCCATCTTTACATGTAGACATTCTATCATCTGGTGATTCATTAATGACATATAAAGCCCTAAACGGCTTGGCCCCTGGATACCTGAAGGACCGCCTCCTTCCATATGAAGCTACCCGGCAGTTAAGATCTAGCCAGGGGGCCAGTCAGTCAGTCAGTCAGTCAGTCAGTCAGTCAGTCAGTCAGTCAGTCAGTCAGTCAGTCAGTCAGTCAGTCAGTCAGTCAGTCAGTCAGTCAGTCAGTCAGTCAGTCAGTCAGTCAGTCAGTCAGTCAGTCAGTCAGTCAGTCAGTCAGTCAGTCAGTCAGTCAGTCAGTCAGTCAGTCAGTCAGTCAGTCAGTCAGTCAGTCAGTCAGTCAGTCAGTCAGTCAGTCAGTCAGTCAGTCAGTCAGTCAGTCAGTCAGTCAGTCAGTCAGTCAGTCAGTCAGTCAGTCAGTCAGTCAGTCAGTCAGTCAGTCAGTCAGTCAGTCAGTCAGTCAGTCAGTCAGTCAGTCAGTCAGTCAGTCAGTCAGTCAGTCAGTCAGTCAGTCAGTCAGTCAGTCAGTCAGTCAGTCAGTCAGTCAGTCAGTCAGTCAGTCAGTCAGTCAGTCAGTCAGTCAGTCAGTCAGTCAGTCAGTCAATCAATAAGAATATTCACCAGCTTCTTCCGTGTCTCACAATTTTCTGATTGTTATGATTCTGGCGCTCAGTCTTACATTTTGAGCACTGAGAACAGCAGTAACAGTTGGTGACCTCAGCGGGCTACAAGATTCCACAAATAAGAACAGACTTATCACTTATCTCAATATGCCAGGCCCTATTTCCTGGAAGCAAGGGCAATGCAAGGCACAGACTTGCAGCCTTCTGGAGAAACTGCAAGAAGAAGTTAAAGAGTAGGAAAAAAGAAAGGAGAGAATGTGTTTCTCAAGAGGCACCTTCTAGAGTGCTTAAGGGGCAGCACGCTTACAACTCCCATGAAGCACAAAGGTAGCTTCCTTTTTCATACATTAACTACACGAAACATGGCCTAAGACAGCCATGGACCCTTAGATGTAGGCCCTGCTAAGATTCTAAGGTGAGTAAAAGGTAGGTGAGTCTGGGGACCAGAACTCCAAGAATTCTGCCTGGGGAATTCTTGGAGAATGTTGGGAGTTTCAATCTCCCAAAAACAAAAAATAAATAAATGGCACAACCCAATAATTCAGCCCTTAATGGGCTCCAGGTGCGAAGTACCTAATTACCCAGCAAACAATAACTCCACATGGGCTGCTGCAGAGATAAGATATTAGTTTGAATTAAACATCAGCCAGGATGCAGACAGGCACACATGGGCAGAAAAGAAGAACTTGTCTTTTTAGCATTGGGCTGTTTCTTATGCTAAAAAGACGAGGCTGTATCACTACAGCATTCAAACCATCTGCTGTGAAAACAGCAAGAAAAACTCGGGCTGAACACACACAACTCTATACTACTCTCTCTGTACTCCTCTGCTCGTTTCACTGGATCCCAAGCAAAAGAACAGTTAACACTGAGGGGGTTGATCATTTGATTCTACCTTAACTCAAACTGCCTGGATGTGCAATGAAAAGTAAAGATTCACCAAAATCTTTAAATATTTAATGCAGGAGTACCCATGGCCCTCCAAAATTTGTCTGACTTCAAGTCCTACCACTGGCTATGCTGGCTAGGTCCACAGATTCTCTCCCTAAAAAGATACTCCACTGTTTCCATGACCTCAGTTGAATTTCTTGCTCTCAATTCATTTGCTCTTTTCCCTGCAGATTCATGAACTCAATTAACCTGTGCCCATATCTCTTTACAACTCTGTAAACTTTACAGTAGACCATCAAATGCCCCATGGAACTCAATGCCAAGATTGTGAATTGTTTGGGTTTGTTTCCTCATTTCACCCTGTCACACTCTTTGCCAATCAAAATATCTCTTTCTGGAATCATAAGAAGATACTGCAGGAGGAGGAGGAGGAGTTGCAACTGAAAGCAAGCCAGGTGACAACTTGATTTGTAGCAACAACTACTATGAATGGCAATGCCCCACAGTCAGTATCTCCTAAGCAAAAGTATTATAGACAACACAAAGTGCTAAACTACAAAACCCAGGAACTTTCCACTGACTGTCAGAGTTATCTGCACCAAAGCTAAAATGAAAATTCAATTTTGCTCTAATTTAAAACTCTGCTCAATTTCAGAATTATCCAAATTTCCTTCTGAAAGATAACTGAAGATCGACTTCAAGAACCTATCTATCAAATCTTCCTGATTAGTTTTAAGGCTGCCATATTTAATTTCCATCTGCTGAACTCGGTACTCCAACATCTTCCCAAAAAGCATTCGCCAGTTCCACTCCCCTGCAAAACAACCTCTACTATTCACTGAAGGATTATAAAATGACCTTATTTATGTTAATGTGATGGTATCTGCATAAGTTGAGAATTTAAAATGACACAACCAACTAGACCATGGCTATTTTATTGGTGAAAGCCCTCTCTATGTGTTTCAAATAGCACCAAAACAACAATTTAAGCTTTTTAAAGTGAAGCTGCACACTCTCACATCTTTGCATATTGATGTCTTACTTGACTATCAAAAGATTATTGAGAGAAATGTCCTGTTTGGGTCCTTGCCATCTCTCTACAAAAGAAGGGAAGCAGGGATGTGTATGCAAATTCTGCTACTGTCTCCACACTTTTTCCTTGCCCTATACACATGGCAGACAACAGTCTACAAAGACTTTAGAATCCTATGTTTCCAAGTTTCTAAGTATCAATAGGAACCTCCATAGATACAAGAGGCTCTCCTTCACAGAGAGTTGCCCTCAGTACAGGGCATGAGGGAGTAGCAAAATTAACATGCATGTCCCTATCCCCACCCCTATGTAGAGTTGGTATGAGAATGCCCTAATAAGGCTATCTCAGTTTCAATTAATTTATCCCCACTCACCCCCAATCTTCATGAGCAATTCTCTTACCTGGACCACAGGATGTCCTCCTGTTGGTGCTTTCACTGCCCCTCGGCTCCCTTCTGTCTCGTAATGGGCACGATGGTGGGGTTTTGGTTGCACTTCAATACGCAGTTCGTAAGAGCCAGAATGACTGGAAAGTGGCCACTCAAGTGGTGGGAGAGACTGTACAGGAATGCTGGACAAAGAGAGGAAAAATAAGCTCAAACATAAATCATGAAATGTAGATTTGTTGAAGTGTGCTGCTAGCAAAAGTAGGATATACCCTCTCATTAAAACGAACTGAGTAATGTATTTGTTCTCCCATTTCTTTGAATATATATGGAGACATCCTCAATGCCATTCTCAACGGCAGAAGACTCAGAAAACATAAAAATAAAAGGAACCACTTCTTTCACTCAATGTAACTGAATATAGCCAGAATCCTATTGTATTCATGTAGCATGAAGTGGAAATTGCACAACTAGAACATGACTGGGTTGTCTTTCATGCTTTTGAACATACCCAGGCCGCACACTCAGCTGAGTGCCCAGCGCATGACAATTGAGCAGAAAACTGCAAAAAATGTATGTGTAATTAACATGTGTGGCATTTTGCAGTAAGGTTTTAGTCATCACGCCTCTGAACAGCATTCACTTGGGAGTAGACATCGGAGCTTCGTATTTGTATCTGGCAAGGAGGTGGGATCCTTCTGAGCGGTCACTGAGGGGAGAGGCGGGGCAGCACCAGCGAGACTATGCCCATGACTGGCACAATGTCACCACCTTCAGACGCATGGGCTGTCAGGAGCCCAGTGAGTAGACAAGGCTGGTTCTGTGGGGACGAGAATGGACTGTTGTGGAACCTGTGGTGATGAGCTTCGCATTCGTATCACCCGGGATATAAATACAAAACTCTCATGTCTACTTGGGAACAATAAGAAAAGCACATTGACTTTGTGTCCTATGTTTCCCAGAGGAATAATACAGGCAGAATATTCGTACAGAAACAGGAAAGCTTAACCTGACTTTTGGTTCCTCTCTGCAAACGCTGATTTTTCTGAGCTTCAAAAAGATAAATGAATCTGGCTTAGATAAAGCCAACCAGAGAAGGGATCTGAAAGGAACAATTAGTAGATTGCAAAGGAGTTAGCTACTCCTTTGTGAAGCTGAAATGAAGCTTGGCCAAGTCCGCAGGTGGAATCATTAACAAAACAAACAATTTGTTTGGTGTACTTTTGAGCTCACAGCTGCAGATAACAAATTAGAACAAGTTTTTACTGTATGTGGTAGTAGAAAATAGATATTTGGCAACCCAAACAACAGATCCAACCAAAACAGACTCACAAAACTTTATAAATAATAGTGGGATGGCTACTGTTTAGGAAAGATGTGAAAGTCTACTATCTTTCACACATGCATACTGTATTGGGGTTTTCTGGTTTCAGGGTCAAAACATGTTAGAATTTGTAAATCTAAGGCACACTGCTTACCTGCAGATAGGTATTGCAGGCATCAGCTGCTTTGGCCAAGATGGTGGCACTAATAAGATTGACTCTGGTGGTGGGTTTCTCCTGTCATCCTGCTCACAAGATCCAAGGTATTCAATAGGCTGAAGCACATGGCATGGCATGCTGGCTTTGTGAGAAGACACCGGAGAAGGATCCGGGCTGGTTCTCCATATTTTTGTAGGAACTCCGCAGGAGGGATCGGTAGTGAGATTGCTCATTGCATCCATGAGGCTAGAGGAGGTGGACAACTGGGTGTAAGTGATTGAAGATCCGTCTTCTCTCAAGGGAACCTGAGGAGAGGCCTGTGGAGAGGGGGTCCTCGATTGACGCGGGGAAGTAGAAGGCGGCTGACTCCCGTAGAGCTCAGTGCAAGAGTATCTCCGCTTTGCTCCTGGTGATGACGACCTTGAGTTGGGACGTGGTGATGGTGAACGTGGGCCCAAGCAGGTATCCTCCACGATGGTTGCTTGTGGGGACATTATTGGCGAGGTTCTAGGGGAATAATGAGCATGGGTGTTTTGAAACTGTGGACAAAGGTCATCACTAGGGCCATTATTTGGTGAAACGCATGGTGAGGTGTAAGGAGAGAAATTTGTCTCTGAAATGAAGCTTGCAGAAGAGCCACTGCTAGGAGGGCTCAGGCACAGCGGTTCTCGGTAGCTCTCAAAGCCAGGGACAGGCAGGGTAAACCTTGGGCTAGTGGTAGCTGAGCTGGACTGATGCTCTACCAACAGATCTGTGTCTCTGCTGCTGAAGGGACCCCCTGGGTGAATCAGTTCATATGATGGTGTTATCTCAATCCTAGGGCTCAAAGTAGGGGGACCTGCAGCCTTGACAGGGTCCAAGTAGCATTTTGACCCTATGCTATCTGGCTGTCCATATCTGCCCATGTGATCTGCCGAAAGACTAGGCAAAGCGAAGGGGTACGGCTTGAGGCCATAATCCGAGACATCATCATGAGGGTAAGTTACTCCAGAGGGTGGGCTGATGATTTTATGTGAAGGAGTCGGTTCTTCTGGAAAAAGAAGGGTCGCTTTTAAGACTAGACATACCACTGCGGAAGCTGAGCAATAATGGGTTAACAAGAAGGCATTTGCGACAGAGCATTAGAAGCAGATGCAAACATCTTTACATAGTGACATCAACTGAACATGGAAGGCACCATATAAGTTGTACAGTATTGGAGTGTAGGCCAATTAGTCACTCTGCTATGCTAGTACTACCCCAAACCATTAAAATGGCCCGCAAAGTGTTCTGAATTCACCTACATCCTCAAGTTAGTCACTCTGCTATGCTAGTACAACCCCAAACCATTAAAGTGTTCTGAATTCACCTACATCCTCAAGAACTCAGGCATTTTACTCCAGAATAGCTATTAGACTGAGGAACCACTAGCCCAACCTGCCCCATATGGTGCCTTCAGCTGCAGCATATGAATAGAAGGACTTATACAAGCATGGCTGAATCTGTATATCACTTATAAATCTAGTGACACAGAAACCTTTCTTTCCAGTTCCAGCCTGAGGGAAACGGGCTTTCTGTATATGCTAAGATGCACTCTTGCCTTTAGTAAGCACTATTTAATATAATTAGAGATGGGGATATAGCGGGCTGAATGCTACAGGGGGTATTTGTATTCGTATATTTGTATTTGAATACGAATATCCCCCCAGAGGTAGAGATAATGAGGGTCCAGCTCCCACTCCCAATTCCGCCGCTGACATGAGCTTGATGGAGCCTTCCTATTACTCGGTTGTCCGCAATGGATTAGCCACTCTTCGACCTGGCAGAGAGGCTCGTCATCCCGCCTTCTGCCAGGCCTGGCTAATCCATTGTGGACAACAGAGTGATAGGAAGGCTCCGTCGTGCTCATGTCAGTGGCAGAATCGTGAGTGGACAGTTACCTGTGGGGGGATATTCATATTCATATACGAATACTCCCATCTCTACATATAATATTAATAAGGACTATTTGATATATAATTGTTTGATACATTTGATATAACAAGGCTGAATTCTGACATTCAAAACAGGTAGCAGTTGTAGTGCTGAAAACGTAAACTACAGAGTATGATTCCCCCAACTTTGGGATGCCCTCCCTATAGAGATCCGCCTGGCTCCAACACTCTTGGCTTTTCGGCGCCAGGCAAAGACCTTTCTGTTTAGCCAGCATTTTAATTAAACAGTATTCCCTAGCTGGCCACATGAGCAGCAGGACTTATTAATTTTAATGCTTTAAGAATTATTTTAATATATGATTTATTTATTTACAATATTTTTTAGCCGCACCATTGCCAGTGTCTTTTAAAATGTTTTTTAATATTTTTAAGTTTTAATGTTGTACGCCGCCCAGAAGCCACTGGTAATGGTGTGGCTAAAAATATTGTAAATAAATAAATAAGTTAAGAGGGGCCAGTAAATATTTTTTCTAAAACTTAAATGTCAGCTTTATATAGTTCTTAGCCTAATGCATGTAATTTGGTAGTTCTATTGGACGTCTTAAACTTGGCATAGCTTAAGGCCTTAGCATGCCTTAATCTAGCCCCTGGAGAGCTGAAACTTGAAAAATACTGTACAGAGTGATGCACTTTTTACCCTTAGTCCCTGATTCTCCCCCCCACTCCAACTATTCTGTTTCCCTCTCACAAGTGTGTTTTATGCATTACATTACTTATACTGTACTGTAAATAGTTGGCTGCATCCACAGGTCCCAGTTCATAATTGTATTCTACACTCCTTCTTGCTACTCAGACCTGGGGTTCTGTAATGCCTGATTTCAACAGGTTGACAGTCAAATGAGAAAAACTTCCCCAAGCAAATGTGCAATGCACTTGTTAAGACTTTTGTCAAAATCAGAGCCAGCTCACAGTAAATCATGTACTTGCCTCTCCCTTCTAGGAGCTACTGCTCTGCAGGAACCTAATTGTTCACGTTAGGTAGCTGCAAACATTAAAACCTCTCTAAATTATACTTTGAGATGAGCTGTTCCTCAGTTCTATTATGAAGAAAGACAACTGACATTAAATGGCCTGTTTAATCAGATCAGGAAGCCAGACATTTACAAGAGCAAATGACACAAATCACAATTCTCTCTTTTATTAAACTTTGGCAAACTTTGCTGTCAGTGTAAGCTGCATTCAAGTGCATCAATTACTCAGTTGGAAGAACATCAAAAAGTCACACGTGTCCTTACCCTTACATTTCTAAGTAGACCAGAACAAGCCACTATACAATTCTTAACATCTTTGAAATGAACTACATATTACAAATTCAGACCTATTTACAGTGGCAAAGTAGGGAAAAGTAACTTTTTCAAGTTCTTCCTACCTGTTGGTCCTCATAGTCCTGGATATAAATTAGAGGCTGTATGAGAGCTACATTTTGAAAGGGACAACTAAAAACTGATTTAGTAAGTCATAACAGCAGACCTCAAACTCATTCTCCCTTCCACAGTATAAACAGTATAAAAGATGATGTTTTAAATGGGTTTTTTTCACTGTGTGATGATTGGTTCCCTACTTCGGGAACCAATTTTCGCTTTACGACGATCAGCAAACAGCTGATCGTCAGGTTTCAAAATGGCCGCCGGCTGAAGAAAATGGACCCCTGCTGTTTTCTAGGATGGATTCCTCGCTTTACAGGCACCGAAAATGGTCGCCGTATAGAGGATCTTCGATGGACGAGCAGGTATTCAGCCCATTGGAACGCACTGAACCGTTTACAATGTGTTTCAATGGGTTTTTTTATTTCGTTTGACAACGTTTTCGCTCTACAGCGATTTCGCTGGAACGAAACAGTATAAACCATCTGTTCTCACAAAACAATAAAATTTGAATTTTCTACTGCCAAAAGGTAGAGGACATTACTGTGACATTTGCAAGATTTATAGAAGTTATGACAATGCTGCAGCACTACACATTTGGACTGATTATCCTCTTCTGACAGAATATGCTACACTTTTTAAGTTTTGAAGTATCACTCATGTAACATTTACCAAATTCTTTAGAACTAAAATACCTACAAGCACCACTGACTGCCACTACTGTATTCCTAGGATCATTATCCCTGATTAACAGGGTGCTTTGTCCCTTCTATCACATGTCTTGCCATTCTATCCATCTACAAGGAAATCTGAAATTGGCAGTTCTTCATACAGAATGTGACATAAGGAAGCTACAAGTCCTTGTTTTAACTATACAAGCACACTCTGTGTTCTACAGAAAAGCCTGGAACAACAAGTCACTGTTCAGAACATTACTTGTCCTCTCCTAACTTTGCTTCTGATTGGTTCCAGAAAAGTTTACATAGTCTAGCTCATAGGTATGCATATAAAAGGAAATGTGTTTTTATAAATTTTCTCAGATACCATCTACGTTTTGAGCTAGAAATTCTCTTGTGACAAGGAGATTTCTGCCAGGGTAAGCCTGCAGGTGCTGATAAATTAATTGTTCCCTTGTCTCTTTTCATGTTTGGGGCCTATATATATATACTACTTCGCAAAGGGAAATCCTCTATTTCTAGATCTCCTTTATTTCCAGATTGGGGAATAAGTAGGTAGTATCTGACTGCAACTCCCATCAATCCTAGCAAGAATGATAAATGGTGAGGATTGTTCGAATGTCTCTCTCCAATGTCATCTGCCTGACCTACCAGATCTTCCAAGACTAAGCTCCTCCAGGTAACCATCACAATGGAAACGTGGAAGTCCTCCACGAATGGTCAGTCCTTTTTCACAGTGGCTTTAATGTTGTGGAACCAGGTCCCAGGAGAGCTATGCCTCGCTCTCTCTAAGCCAATGTTCAGAAGACAATTTGAAATGTTGCTTTTCAGGGAGGCTTTCCGCACTGCTCCTGTTGCATTTTACACCCCTGTCCCACTGTCATACAGAGTACAGTCATGCCCCGCTGGACGATTACCCTGCTCTAAGACAAATCTGCTTTATATTGATGTTTTTGCGATCGCTTTTGCGATCACAAAATGATGTTTTAAATGGGGTTTTTTCGCGGTGCGATGATTGGTTCCCTGCTTTGGGAACCAATTTTCGCTTTATGACGATCAGCAAACAGCTGATCGTCGGGTTTCAAAATGGCCGCTGGCTGAAGAAAATGGACCCCTGCTGTTTTCTAGGACGGATTCCTCACTTTACAGGCACCGAAAATGGTCGCCATATGGAGGATCTTCGCTGGACGAGCAGGTATTCAGCCCATTGGAACGCCCTGAATGGTTTACAATGTGTTTCAATGGTTTTTTTTTTAAATTTCGTTTGACAACGTTTTCGTTGTCAAACGTTTTTTATTTCGTTGTCAACGTTTCCTACAGCGATTTCGCTGGAACGAATTAATGTCATCAAGCGAGGCACCACTGTATTATTCCAATTCCGCTGATTTTTAAAATATTTGTGTACTTATTGTTTATTATTGCATGTTATTGTAAACCACCCAGAATATTGCTTTGGTATATAAACTGAATAAACAAACTGCAGTCCAAAGACATCTGGGGGGGTGGCTTTTTTGTCATCCTTGTTCTATTTAAAGGGTTGTCTGGTTTAATTATAAAGAAGCAGAAAAAGAGAAATTTGCCAATGTCCATCACCTGGCCAAAGTCTTCCCTAATATCCATGATGAGATGTACCACATTTCTGCTTAAGTTTTAACACCTATTACTAGATTTGTCTATAAATTAGTATTTATGTATAACAAGCAAACCTGTTCTTTTTAAATTTAATTTGGTTTAGTTTTGCTTGTTTTGGCAATATATAAAAGATTACCATACCTAAATGTTCCCCTCACTGATTTAAATGCTTTTTCATTGGACCATGCACAGATATTACTGGTCTACTGTTTTTATTTTCATTTTGCACTAGCCTACTAGTCTACACATACTTATGATAATCGTTTGTCGCATACTAATACTCTGAAAGGAAAAGGAAAACAAGTAAATCTGTAAAGTACAACTTTTATTGTTAGTTGTTCACAAGTGATTCTTACTCATGGCACACAACCCAACAAGCAGCCT